AAAAAGCTGTCGTATCATGCTATTAAAGACTACTGTGCACATAGTAAACCTCTTTTTCAGTCACTACGTATTCTCAATATTTATGACCAATTTAAGTATCAGCTATGTACATTTATACATGACTACAATTTCACAGATTGCCACGTGACCTTAATTACTATTTCAATTTCCATACTCACCATTATCACACTAGGTCAAGGGATAATTCAAACTTTCTTCTACCAATGAAAAAGACAAATTTGGGTCAGTTTTCAGTCGATTACCAGGGAACTAAAATTTGGAACAGCTTACCCCTGGATATCCAATTGATTCGTATTCGAGCAAATTTTAAAAAAGAAGTGAAAGACTATTTAATCCACTGTAATCATCCATAGTTATATTCCAATATGTATATATAGAGGCATACAAACATGTATCGGTGTGTAAGCAAACCATTGTAAATAAGTTTTTTCTGTCTACTTGATTGCCCTTTTTAATAAATAGCTATTTACAAATATATGTTGATGGGAAATAGACTAGACTAGCTCTGCATGAGCTAATTTCTGTTTCCCAGCCATAGATTAATATTATTATTATTTATCAATATTTATTAGTTATTATTTATTGCTGTATTGTAATTTTTTATGTAATCTATGGCAAATAAACATTATTATTATTATTATTATTATAACCAACTTATGCATAAAATGCAATCATTTTTATTTTTATCAAAATATTTCCTGTGTTATCAATCAACTTGTAACAGCCATCACCAAAATTTGAATACTAAAAGCATAACATATATGCTGTATACCAATGTTGTAACATTAAATCATTCCCAAGTGAAAAAAGATTGTAGCGTGGTTCCATCCAGGTCTCCTGATGGTACCATCTATTGAAATCCAGTTTTTGTCATGTGAACCTCAGGGAATTATGGACAAGTTACCGGAGACCCTGGGCAAAATGTCAAATATATCACCTTCTTCAGAGGCTTAGCCTCTCTGCCTGTCTCTCATCGATGATTTTGTCATCTTCCATAATAGTGTGCATCATAATTTTCTAAGGTAATTTCAGTGAAATGGCAACTACTCAACCTTTAGTTTTTGCCTTATATAGGGTCACTTTGCCCATGCATTTGTGTCTAAAACAATATTTCAGTAAGATTTGTTCCATTAGGGATTACACCAGTGGTTTTGAAAACTTGATATGTCTGTAGAGCTGTGCAAGGCAATTGTTTGTCTACATTAATATTTCATTTTTACATAGGGTGCTGAACCACATGCTGTTTTGTCTACCCATGAATTCATTAACAGTAAGGTAACTGCAAAGGCGGCAAGACAGTTACAAGATCCATTAGTTATTATGACAGGAAACTTGCCATCATGGTTAGGAGATGTGGCTAAATACTGGTATGTATTGTCAAGCTGAACTCATCTACGCATACACCTGTTATGAATTAAAACACCAAATTCTGGATGGCTTCTTTCTTTGCTTAAGTTAATCTGTTTTGTTTTTGCAGTCCATTTTTATTGCCATTTGATACACGTCAGCTGTTGTTTTACGTCACTGCCTTTGATAGAGATAGAGCTATGCAGAGATTACAGGATAATAATCCTGATATGAATTCATCTGATGCTGGTGAACGTGTTGCACCTAGACTAGATAGAAGGAAGGTAAGTCATGACAACAAGTGTCTTACATTACAAAGATTAACTCCAATAACCCATACATTCTCACAATGGTCTGACATACTTCAAGGATATACCATAATATAAAGCTACAGCGGTTGTATATCCTTCAGTGTTCTTATTTCATGAAATGCTTTAGCTATTTTTCCCTCCAGGATTCTGGAAAAACCTTTCACCTAGCTACAGAATACATCAGTCTGTAATTTAACAACTTGTGTCACTCATTTTTCTGTTTGTTATTTTTCCTCAGCGAACCGTGTCAAGAGATAATTTACTGCAGCAAGCAGAAACAGTCATTGAAGAATTAGGCAGTTCAAAGGCAATTCTAGAAATACAATATGAAAATGAGGTAATGTCTTCTTCATCAATTAGCATAAACACCACCTATAGGAATATTTTTTTTTACCAATAGTTTGAATATTTATTGACCCAGTTAATAACTATAAAAAGTGTTATTTATAATGTTAAACAAATCAAATTCACTAGTACTGTAAAATCTGTGTTAGGAGCTGCATCCTTAATAAAAGCCACACCAATTCTTTCTGAACAATTGAGAACCATTCCCAAATAACACAAAGTTCAACCACTGGCATGCATCATAAAACTGTGTATGCTTGATCAAGATTTCAGTGGTCAGCAAATGATGGAGATGACAAAAATGATGTAATCAATAGTTTCATGGTCTAATTAATAGGTGGTCAACAAACAGTGCATTTTACCCATTCCCCATATATTATATTGCAACAACGTTGACAAACATATTACATCACAGTGTTCTGTGAATTTCATTGTGGTATATATAGTGTCTTCGATATGCCCCTCTCACTCAACCAGAACACTTTTATATCCTTCATTACTGAGTACATTGCGTCTGCAGACCTCCACAAATTTGCCATTGCATAATCTTATACAAAGAGTACAGGTAATCTTTAGCAGATTCAATTTTTTAGACTTGAGAACCTGACCCTGACAGAATGTTTTCTCTGTAGGTTGGAACTGGGTTAGGACCGACTTTAGAATTCTATGCACTTGTGTCTCAAGAGATTCAGAGAGCTGATCTAGATATATGGGCAGGAGAGGCTGTACCCTTACCTGATCCTAAAGGTACTTTCTTCTCTGTCTGTTTATATGTATTGACATTCCTGTTTCAATCATAATTACTGACATATGTTTGCATAATTACCAAAATATCTGGGTATATATGTTTGTTGAAAATATCATAATTTTGGTGGTGTTGTCAAAAATGTGTGTACTGCTCCTAAATAGAATGTAGAGAGCCTATGATTTACAAATGCTGTTACCAGTACATGATTGGTCAGTAAGTGTTACTCCATTACTTACTTACTCTAATATTGCCTGTTGTAGGTAATCAAGATGGGGTGCTGTACTTACATGCACCAACAGGTCTCTTTCCATCCCCAATACCAAAGACAGCAAAACTTGGTGCAGTTGCAAAGCTGAGATACAAATTCAAGTTCATTGGCAGATTTGTAGCCAAAGCTTTAATGGATTCAAGAATGGTGAGTTCACCAGTGAATGTACGATTGCACAAGACCTACACTCATCTGCCAATATTTAGCAATGCCAAAGATATTGAAAGATCCTGTCGCTCATTCCATGTAAAACTTAACAAACATAATCTGAAACAGAGACTTGTGTTCTGTGTTTGCTTCCGTCATCTGTGTATGTGTGTGTGGGGGGGAGGGGGGGTGCATGTGTCTGCCCGACTTCATTTCTCACTGATTGTGTAGTTGAAAGTCTAACACCACATTGAAATCAATATGCATAAGTTAATTAGCTAATCTGCATACCAGTTAACTTATTTAAGCAAGTTTTGTTCATATCCTAACAACATTTTGCTCAAATGAGTTAAAACTTTTGCAAGCATATTGTTTGTGCAGTTTATTGTCAGGCAGAAATGGTTGTATGTTATTTGTTCAGTAAACTGAGTATCAACAAATATTGAATTCACTTTACACAGGAGCACTTTCTAGCATCTATATCTATATTTTAAGGTTAATAAATGATAGTTATTCTTTACTTGATTTTAGATTGACATTCCATTTAGTCTATCATTTTACAAGTGGATTCTAGGTGAGGAGTCCACTGTTAGTGCCTCTGATTTGCGCCATGTTGACCAAGTTATTGCCAATTCATATAACCAGTTACAAGATATACTCAGACAGAAGAAAAGATTGGAACATGACCAGTCACATGTAAGTACAAATCAATGTTTATGGCTTATTCTCTCCAGTCATACAATCATTCTGTAGTTAGTAGCTTGGTAGTATTTGCTAAGTCACTGCTTTATGTGAATTAAATTGAAAATGGTTGAAACTAATTCAGTACTTTATAGATTTATACATTCAATATCTACTGCAAAAACATTTCAAGAGTATAAATTATAGCTTACAAATAATAAAAAATGTTTTGTGCACAAATTTAAATAGTGCTTCTGGTTGATGCAATAAATAGTGATTGATTTTTTTTTAGATGGGGGGGGGGGTTACAGCAGATAACAGGACAATTGCCGTTATTTGATCTAGCAAACATTGGCAGGTTTCAGTTTATGCAAACAACACAGTGATCGACAATGGCACTTTGCACATTTGAAACTGCCAACAAATAAACATGTGACATCTCAAGTTATATTACAAGCACGCCTCAAATAGAAGTACATATAAACCAAAAATGGATGCCTTTGTTGTGTATCAACAATCACCTGACTATAGAGACACCTCTGCTACCAACAAATCAAATACGATATTTGTTTCCTAAATGCAATAAAAAATTCAAAATTATGTGTCTGCGTGTTTACAGTGAGCTTGGCCGTCCGTACACAAGAAATTATGACCTGTAGTTAAGGAGTTATCCAATCAAAGATGTTATTTCACACATCAGGTGAATTCATCTATGCATTGTCTAAAAAGCTCCCTTTTTTATGCAACATATGCCTGTACTTAGTTTATTTAGTGAGTAAAAGATTTAACTTTATGTTGTGGTGAAATTGTCAATGTTAAGGTGATCACTGAATCAGTATTCACAGCATGACGGTGAATGTGATGTATTAAATATGCTGCAAAAATCAAGTTATATTAAATTTAATTTAAAAGTTGCAAAATTATGAATAAAATAGGAAAGCTGTGAAATCATCTAATTACCAATAAAGGTGGTGGGCTGAGAGCTTGAAATGTGCTCTCTTACTTAAATTTGTTGATCAGTAGGCATGTATACCAATTTTAAAAAAAACATTGACCCACAATCCTTGGATGCCTAATTAATCATCATAGCTCCTGTCAAAATAAAATTGTAAAAGTTAACAAAAAAATGAAACTAATCGTGTACAGTACTGTGTACCTTAAACACTGCACTGATGGTGCAGTGAACTTGAAGTCAGTAAATACATTAATTGTACAATTGCCTTTTGACATGAATATAATCTATATTTAAACCCATTATTGTACAGTACATGATGTGTGATATGCTATGGTCTTGTTATGTTTGATTTCAGACTCCTGCTAGTCTACAGTTAGCTCTAGATAGTCTTACAATGGATGGTTGTTCTGTTGAAGATTTGGCATTAGATTTCGTCTTACCTGGATATCCTAATATTGAATTAAAGAAAGGTGGGAAAGATATTCCAGTTACAATACACAACTTACAAGAATATTTACAGGTATGATCTATCTCCATAATTGCATGGTACAAGCTCTTGTTATTATGTATCATCTTAAGTTACAGTGTGCTGTAATTTTGTTTTACACAGGGTACATTACCTAATTAGGTAAATGCAAATTCCAAATATTGAATTATTATGTTATATTTTGAAGAAGACAAATTTGTCACCATCTTGCTCGCTTCTGGGCTTCACACACCAAGCAGTTGTGTTGAGATGAATGATAATAAGGTTACAGAGATTACAGTGCACAGTCACATCGACCTCCACTATGTGTCAATCAATAATTTTTCTGTGTACTGTTTATGAGTAATTGCATATTATTTCATTACCATTTGTTTGCTTCATACTTTAATTGTTTTTGTTTTTGTAGCTGCTTGTGCACTGGACTCTAGTGGAAGGTGTGTCAAGGCAATGTGAAGCATTCAGAGATGGTTTTGAATCTGTATTTCCTATATCTCTTCTTAAATGTTTTTACCCTGAAGAGGTGAGTAAGCTGTGAAGTGATTTTTGGTTGTTGAGATAATCACATTTCCATCCACGGACTGTGTAGAAAATGACCTCAAGATTGTCACTGTGTTTCCTTTTCTGGTGAAATTGTCTCTGCTACAACTTAGTGCTTTCCTGCATTTTCATATTCACAATTTGTTTCCCACAAAATCAAAGCAATGGAAAAATCACGACCCTTTCTGCTCTAAGCATCAATGAACCAGAATTTGGGATGTGTTGAAAGTAATGCTTGATGAATCTCATGGTAGTGAGAATGCTCCATTTCACATAGTCTTAACTGTTGAAATAAATTGCATTTCAGATGGACCAATTACTGTGTGGCAATACTTATGAACCATGGGAGATGAAAACACTCATGGATTGTTGTAGACCAGATCATGGTTATAATCATGACAGGTAATCTTTATATCAATCAGAAGCCATACATGCACCTAGAATAAATTGCTACCATATTTACAGTTCAACCACAAAACAATTCAACAATATACCCAATATCTTGATAACTACTTAACTTGGTGCATAGGTGCTCTGTGATAAACAAACTGCAAACCACAAATGTAAAATTAAATTTAAATTTATTCCTTTTCTGTTAATATAATAATCTTCAAAAACTATGGGTCAGAGGTGCTTTCACACTGTGCATTATATTATCCAACTGCCATCATGTTTAAACGACTAATCTTAATTTTTTTTTAAATATTCTCTATTTCTTCTAAATTCTTCAAATACCATGGAGTACATGGGAGTTCTCTCTAAGCTTTCTTTGATTATTACATTCTGCTTAGAATTTTGCAATAGTCACGGTCTAGAACAAATGTGCTGTGTATAGCACTGATCATTACTGCTTTAGACCACAAAATACTGAAAGTGAAAACATGCAATAAAACCACTATATGCATCATTATAACTGATCTAATCCCAACTAATCTCAGTTTTAAATTGTCTTATTATCTTTCAGTCGGGCTGTCAAGCTTTTATTTGAAATTTTAACATTCTATAACTCAGAACAACAAAGGCAGTTTTTACAGTTTGTGACTGGAAGTCCCAGACTGCCAGTTGGAGGTGAGTTAAGAATATAATTGTGTTGTGTATTTTTATAATCTTAGACAATCTTTCACAACTACTTCTAATGGTACACATTGAAAACATGTCTTGCTTTGTGTAAAATATTCCAGGCCAAATCTTAACTACATGTATTAATCAACTTGATAAATTATGTTTTCTTTTTTTTTTGTAGGTTTCCGTGCTTTGAGTCCACCACTGACAATAGTGAGGAAAACATTTGAGTCAAATGAATCTGCTGATAACTTTTTACCTTCCGTTATGACATGTGTGAACTATTTGAAACTACCAGATTATTCCAACAAAGATATAATGGAATCCAAACTACGTATTGCTGTGATGGAAGGACAACAATCATTTCATCTCTCGTAGTGCTTGTGTGTCATGCAGCTGCAATATTTATTTGTTGTTTTTAGTCACTGAATAATTTATTTTTTTCTGCTACAAAAGCTTCAGTCGAAAGCAAATTTTGTTTTGAGAAATGTTTTGCCTATTTACCTCTATTTGTATGGTCAGATATTAATATGTAACATATGAGATGTTTTGTGTTCAGTGCAGTCGTCAAACTACATGTATAGAGACAGCATCAGATTTACAAACTACTTGGTGCTTTTCTACAGCTATGCTATATTACACAAGATATATACTTGCATGTCTGCTAAATATGCATATAAATTGATATTTATGGACCAATGGGTGATAGATCAAAATTTGGGGAGGGGTGAAGTGGTCATTTCACTTACATTTTGTGAAATATGTGAATTGTTTCAATGAATAATAAAATGTTGTTCAGAAGAAAAAGAGACAAGAACTCTTTGTCTCTAGCATTGCAGCTTTTAAATAGACATTTTAAGAAAAGCAGGGTAGTTTGAAATAAAGTATATTCAAGATGTATGCATGGGTACGTGTTGAGTTAAGGCATAGACTGATTTAACTGAAGATCTATTAATTACCCTATTGAGATTGCTACCTTCAGTGTAATACTCCAGAACACATCTGTGATTTTGGTGCCAACAAAATGGGTTGGAATTTTTGTATTGAATCTTGTGTATGTCTTTTAAAATTTAAGTTTGTCAATTGAATATGTAAGTTGGTATGAACAGAACAGCAGTTATATCCCGTGTGGTTGTATCATGTGGGGGGGGGACTGGCGTGGCAATTGAATATGTAAGCTTGTATGAACTGGACTGGTTGTATCATGTGGGGAGATTGGTGTGGCAATTAAATATGTAAGCTTGTATGAATAGGACTGGTTGTATCATGTGGGAGATTGGTGTGGCAATTGAATATGTGAGCTTGTATGAACAGGACTGGTTGTATCATGTGGGGAGATTGGTGTGGCAATTAAATATGTAAACTTGTATGAACAGGACTGGTTGTATCATGTGGGGAGATTGGTGTGGCAATTGAATATGTAAGCTTGTAAGAACAGGACTGGTTGTATCATGTGGGGAGATTGGTGTGGCAATTAAATATGTAAGCTTGTATGAACAGGACTGGTTGTATCATGTGGGGAGATTGGTGTGGCAATTGGATATGTAAGCTTGTATGAACAGGACTGGTTGTATCATGTGGGGAGATTGGTGTGGCAATTAAATATGTAAGCTTGTTTGAACAGGACTGGTTGTATCATGTGGGGAGATTGGTGTGGCAATTAAATATGTAAGCTTGTTTGAATAGGACTGGTTGTATCATGTGGGGAGATTAGTGTGGCAATTAAATATGTAAACTTGTATGAACAGGACTGGTTGTATCATGTGGGGAGATTGGTGTGGCAATTAAATATGTAAGCTTCTATGAATAGGACTGGTTGTATCATGTGGGGAGATTGGTGTGGCAATTGAATATGTGAGCTTGTATGAATAGGACTGGTATCATGTGGGGAGATTGGTGTGGCAATTAAATATGTAAGCTTGTATGAATAGGACTGGTTGTATCATGTGGGGAGATTGGTCTGACAATTTAATATGTGAGCTTGTATGAATAGGACTGGTTGTATCATGTGGGAAGATTGGTGTGGCAATTAAATATGTAAGCTTGTATGAATAGGACTGGTTGTATCATGTGGGGAGATTGGTGTGGCAATTAAATATGTAAGCTTGTATGAATAGGACTGGTTGTATCATGTGGGGAGATTGGTGTGGCAATTAAATATGTAAGCTTGTATGAACAGGAATGGTGGTATCATGTGGGGAGATTGGTCTGACAAATGAATATGTAAACTTGTTTAAACAAGACTAGTTTTATTGCATGTGAACTGGGCGGGGCTCAAATAAGATTATTAGCATTTTATCTTTTGGATGAAAATTCTAATTTTGAAAAAATTTTATTGTGAATGTTCCTTGGAGCTTGATAGTTTGTGACTTGCATGCAATAAGTCCATGATTTGCAAGAATTTACAGTAAATGTTACAAAAGAATAGGAACTATTCCTTGTCAAGATGTCTTGCAAAAAAATGTATAAAACATTGTTGTTTTCCTTGATTCAGTAGAGCTTTATGAACATTAGTAATTTTGTAAAAAAAAAAAAGTGATTTTTCATTCAAAAAATGACATTTTGTTCATGTAGACATGATTTTCTTAGTTTAATTATTATTCACCAAGTTTAAAATAGTTTATTGTACTTACAACAAATTTTGGCGAAGAAATACATTATCCTTTGCCATAGGACAAAATTTGTATTGATAATTGATAGTAAGTATAAATGTATGTGTACTGTTGCTTTGATAACAATTGAATAATTATATCTCCCAACCTCAATCACTAGAGGGCAGATGGGCCCATCAATATTCCCTATGAGTGTCACCATGAAGACAGTGAACCATTCATTTCGCGTATGTGTGAAATGTAATTCACACTAATGTTTATAACAATTTGAGCCAATGTACCAATATTTTTGTGCAGAAAATATGCTGGAACAACAGTTTTCCATACCAAGACAATATAAACGTCATTGCACGTTATCCTATTCATGTGATAGTACAAATTCTCACTGTCGTACAACACAAAGATGACCTTAATAGTTTGGTTATGGTCAGGGTTGGACACCACTACTCTGGCCCCTCTAGTGGATCAAACTGGGGAACTTCTCTCTGAATTAGAGTTGATGCGCAACATGGACATGTGTGTGACACCAGAGCTGTTCAGGTATCATGCATACAGGTCGTTCTTAGCTCAGATCATGGGTATTCTACTGGACCTTCAGCAACCACATGTATGCTCTAAAACTTGTAATCAAACTCAATCCAATTATATCAGAACCACTGCAAGCACTATTATGCTTGCCATCTGCGGAAACAAACACATCCTTTCTATCCCTCTGTCGCAGCTAGTAAAATTTCCTCAACATCAAAATTAAATAGCAAAATTAATCATGTGTTTAACAGTATGAGTTGAAGCATTTCCTGGGATGATGAAGTGAAGGGACTGGAGCAGTCAAAACCAAAGGTCACTCCAAGAATAGTCTCTCCATCATGGTTTCTGTCATTGTTGCATTAAAGGACACCCATGAACCACAACTCGCAACATCCCCGAAAATGCATACACTTAGGTCTGTGAGAAACTCAACAGCGTTCCACAATAGAACTTCATCAATCAAGCAATGGCATTTGCTTTCTGCTATCTGAGAGATCTGTCCCTACCGGTAATAGATCTGATTGAAACAAAACAGAGTATAACAAACTCACACAAACACTGATTTTCATATGAATTTGCACAAAAAATCTTTAATGTTATGCTTGACATATCTGTTTTACCACAGTTGCCTTTATTCTTAGCATTGCCTGACTTGTATTGGTTTACTGGGAGAAAGGCAACCCCACTGGGATTTACTGTCAAATCGTGAATGCTGATTTATCATAAAAGCAAAGAAAAAGTATTTATTTATTTGTTGCAACACTTTTGAATATGGCTGACTATTTTAAGAAATAAATAAAAGCTATGTAGAATTACAAATCAAATGCGGCATTACATAACAAATTGAACAACAAAAATTGAATCAAATGTTGCAATTAAAGAAAAAATACAAAAACTGAAATTGAGTCAAATGTAGGTATTAAGGGGGAAATGTAAACTAAGAACACCAATTTAGATTAGTCTAAAAACTTTTGTCTGGACTTCATGGCACTGATAAGGAATTGTTTGACTAATTTGTCAATGGCTGTACAAATGTCATCATTATAGAGTTGAGTACTGTCTCCCAGCAATAGGCATATTATTTCATTCCTTTGTTCAAAATCTGCGTAAAGATAGTTTTCTCCGCTATTCAGTAAAATATTTGTGATCCCTTCATCAGCTTAACTCTGTACTACAGGACAAAATGTTCCAAGGTTTCATCTTCTTTCTTACAACATGGGCAAGTGCAGTCTTCAGAAACATTAGTTTCCCCATTTCATTTTTTCATATTCCAAACCAAGTGTGTAGGACCATGCCTTAAATTTCAGTTGGATCCCCTTCAAATCTGTCACTGAGTGATTCACAGTGCGGTGAACATTACCTGAGGTACCGATACATACAAGCCACCCCCTCTCCTTGGTTGGTAGAGGGCGCTAATACTAGTCCCTGTAGTGCAAAGTCCTGAAAAGTTTTCCGACATCCATTGAAAGAAGCGAGAAATTCAGGAAAAGTTGCTCATAAACAGGTAAATATGCGTGTAAAACGTTGCTCGCAAATTATTAGTCCCCGTTCGGACGAAGTCTGAAAACGGGGACTTATAATTCGGTCTCCGTGCGTCCGTGTGTCCGTCCGGAGTCATATCTCAGAATCCCTTGGACCGATTTCGTTCATTCTTTGCATGTGCCTGGTACTTTATGTGGGACATGTGCACATGCAATGGTTTAGCGATTCGATTCAAAATGGCCGACTGGCAGCCATCTTCTTTTTTTGAAAATGTTGTATTTTGGACATGCTTTGTCAGTTTTCATTCAAACTTGGTACATAGATTATACATGTTAGGATACATGTCCATGATGATTTATTTCACAATTGGATCAAAGATGGTCGACTGGCAGCCATTTTGTTTTTTGAAAATGTTGTATTTTGGACATGCTTTGTCAGTTTTCATTCAAACTTGGTACATAGATTATACATGTTAGGATACATGTCCATGACGATTTATTTCGCAATTGGATCAAAGATGGTTGACTGGCAGGCATCTTGTTTTTGTTTTTTTATGCGGTATCTTGTACTTTATACTCGTTAGGATGCATGTCCATGACAATTTATTTCAAAATCTGGTCAAGGATGGCCGATTGACAGCCATCTGACTTTTTGGCCTTACTACTATATTTCCACAATTTATTTACCATTTTTATTCGTATTTGACACATACATCATACATATCAGTGTGTTTCATAATCAGACCAAAGATGGCTGAATAACGGCTGTTTTTATTTTGGCCATATTATGACACGAAACGCGTGTTTTGATGTAAATAAACAATAAGTTGTATACGCCGCTTGGAACTCAAGTTTCAAGGACACGCTCGCGACAACCCCTCCGCTTTAATATGATGAGCACAAAGAGAACTTAACGGGGACTGTGTCATTTCAATGACTTGTTTGATTTAGAGATCGAAGTCGGGAAAAGTTGTTCGTATACTATTAATAGGAGCACGCAAACATTTTTGCTGGATTAGTCATTATTGTCAATTTTAAAAATACAATATCAACCTTATAAATGTTCACATGCAGGAGTGCATAATTGTCTTTTGTTTCATTTGAGTAAAATCATTCTACACTTTATTGTGTAATTACGCGACCGTGGGACTGTGGTCACGGTAAAAGAAGAAACTTTTGTGTTAACTCTTACATGTAATTGTTACCACATTAATACCAAGTTTTCAAACTTTCAGTTTGTATTAAATCTCCATCACACAGGAAATAAAGAATCGCTTGTATATCACAAGAGCTTTCTACTGACTAAACCCTACCGGGGGTATTATCATTGCATTTGGTAAACCCATTTATGCACTCATTATTCAACAATTCTAAAAATACATATTTATCGACCAAATAGCTGTTTTAAAATACACTATTAGTTCCACTGTTTTCAAAGAAATCTGGAACCCAATCTCTATAAATATATTTAATAACAATAACAAATTAAATGTGGTCAATTTTTACCAATTTTAGATTTAGGCCAGAAAAAAATTTTGATGAATTTTTTACATATTTGGGATGAATCTGCTGTCTTGAAATGCATGAACTATGCGACTCATTCAAATATATTATTTCGAAACGTATTTGATGCGACTTAAAATAATTTATTTTCAGTTTTCTTTTGATAATGTTTGGCTGATTTCAGGTACTGGTACTGTACTTTCTGTCAAATTTTCGGTCTTAAAATGACATAATATAAGTTCAAACTTGAATTGAAAAATGTCTAGTTCTAAAGCTTACATTATGATTAGACCAGTACAAATACGTTTCATAGATGATCTATAAAGTAACGAATTGGTGAATTTTACTATTTGTATGCCAAATCAAAGAAAGCTTGCACCCCTAACTCGAAGAGTACCATACTGTGATATGATTTCATCATATATACCTGCAACAAACACCAACAAATATATTTTGTATTTAATTTTTTTTTTACCAATTCTGACATTTTCTTGGCCAATCTTCAGTCCTAAAATCCAGTACTGATGGTAAGTACTACTGTTATTAAAAACTGTGTTATGGTAAAAAAGATTCAATGATCCCGACAAAAATATTTATTTTACCATTTTCTGACCAATTTAGTCAAATTTATGCTCAATTTCCACCCTTAAATACCCAAACAAAGGTAAATTTCAATTTTGTAAGGAAAATGTTCAATTCCACTGGTGTTCCAATAATTAGAATCGAATGAAATATAAAATTCTGTCTCAAATTTGTATAAAGCACGGACCTTAGAAAAGGTCTATGTATAAAGTTACAAATTTGGTGAATTTTGACCAATTTCGCCATTCTAAAAACCCAAATCGTGGGCGTAAAATGCAAAATCACAGAGGGCATCCACCCCTGTCGTGGAAAGTACCTTACTGTGACACAATCCCGCACAATAAATGCCATCTAAAGTTTATTTTTAGTGTTCACAACAACCAATCAAAACTCCTCACTGGGCATTGCGCCCTCTACGAAGCTAGTTGTCACACAACTTCAATATGGCGGCTATTATAAAATACTTTGTTTTCCTGGGAAGTTTAATCACATATATTTGTAGTTTTCACTTTTAATGACATTCGTAAGGACACGTGCTGTTACGGAAATTGGAATTCAGTGAAAGGCTTGACATCTTCCTCCTTGTTTTTGAGTCGACAACGATACTTGCGAAAATTACGATTGCATGTCAAAACTTGCTAGAACTTGTGCATTTAAAATTGTTGTGAATCAGACAAGCACACGCTATAGAAGGTTTGTACCATATTCTCGTATTCTTTCGTGATTGTTAATAATTTCAACCTGTCGTCGCCGTGATTGGTAACACTGTTAATGTACAACTCTGATAATATTAGTTCAGTGTCGCTTCGTTCAAACGCTGTTTCGTTCCAACTCTTTCGCTCTTTCGCTTTTCGAATTGAGTGCACACTGACAGGTTTAAACCATTACATTTAATTTCACTATTTTGAGCATATTCACGAATTTTCCAGGATCTTATTGACTACAAAATGAAGTTCCAAATGAATGAATTTGTTACTATATTCTGCCTGGACTGAAACGTGATTTTGCTTGTCATGCATTTTTTTTTACAAACTAAAAACATGGACCTCCATGCTAAAAAGAATAATGTCGTCTGTGTGGTGACAAGACAACAGGCTTGGTACATGTATAATACAAATGTGCTACCTGAAAGTGGAACGATGAGTGCATGACCATACAAACTAGTAGATACAGTTTGTTGTTCTGACCTGGTAATTTGATATTAGGCGACTATTGGGCAACTTGCATGGTATGAGCTGATCTTAAACAGAAAAAATCGTCTTTGAGATGAATCAACTTGAACGAATTGACTTGAATTGAATAAACTTGTGGGACGAATCAACTTGGATGAATCTACTTATGGGACGACGAGACTTGGAACAAATGTGATTTGGATGAATCAATTGTCCAACATTAATATATCTATAGTACTGTGGAATACTTTATTTTCGCTGCAATTAATTTTCGCTAAAAAGGTTTTTTGGGCGTTTTGTATGGAATTTATTTTCACTGATTTTTGATGAGTTTAATGTGAAATATAGGAAAAAAAGTATATTCGCTGGATTTTATTTTCACGTAATCATCTCTTCAGCGAAAATAGCGAAAATAAAGTATTCTACAGTATATCAAAAGGTCACATGATAGTTTGTATATAAAAGGGCATGGAACTTAGAACTTGCTATGAAAATGCATGATAGTTATTAGTTAGTTATTCTAAATGTTAATATGTTCCCTTTAGCTCATAATGGCGTATTCACCTCTACCCAGTGTAAATCAGATGATGATATTTTGTAATGATGCAGTAGAAGTGACATATTCTGATGGATCTCAGCTCCAGTTGTCACCATGTGGGACTGTGTTCATTCATGAGAAAAAACCAACCAGTCATCCTTTGCAGCAGTTACATAGGTATGCTAGATTCACATACAGTCATCATGTAAAAATTGTACAATGTGTATACAAAGCTAACATCAAAAATATCTTAAACATGAGGGGAAAATTTCCTTGCGTCTATAATGGTTGACAAACAGCAAACTAACAAACAAACTGTGTAAAGCAGATCAAGGCTCTGTTGAGACAGTGTACAGTTTGATTCACGTACAATTTGCATACTATTCACATACGATTAGAGTAAAATTCATATAGGATGCAAGTACGATTGACATACGATTCAAGTACAATTCATACTCTTATTGGCATACTTATAATTCACACAATTTTAATTTTGATTGTAGCCAATGTAACAATGTTTCTGTGTAGGAAAAAAATATATGTTAATATATATGTTAATATGTTTTGAAAAAATCAAGGTCATAAATAGTTTCACAGTCAGATCTGCGTATCACACAAATTCACAGTTCTGAAAGTCTCACTCACATCGGAAGTTACAAGGCCCCAAACCCTACCAAAACAAGTATCAAACAGTTGTAGAAATACAGTAAAAAAATATATTCTCAAATTATTTCCACCCAGTGCTAAATAAACAAATGAAATCCACTTTTGGACATCAGGAATTATAATTTTGTACCAAACTTGTTGATTTTGTTGGTGTCTCTGGAAAATATGGAACATGAATTATTGAGTCTTAAGGAATGTATAATAATAAAATTATTAATAAAATTAAAATGGCAAACCATGTCCAAACTATAGGTTATATGTATAGTATCCAACTATTACATTGTTTGCATTCGAAAGTTTCATAAGAAAGACGTATCAAATTCAAAAAGTTATATTGGAAACACACTTTACTGATATTTAAAACTTGTTTCTTAGTTTTACTAATTTCAATATATTAATTTCAGAGTACAGCAGCGGACACAGTTTGTAACAAGTGAGTTCAAAGGAAAAATCCAGGAAGCATTGGAATTTCGAAATCACTTTGCAGAGAAACCATTTATTTGCCCAGCTCTGATTAATACACAGGATATAGTGGTAGGTTTGTAACTCTCTGACAATGTCTCATTGGATTAATTTCTAACATTTGTGAGTCCATGTGAGTGTATCTCAAACACGCCTAGACTGATCACATTCAAACTTCACACATACGTAATTTATCTTGTGATACATATACAAGTCTTTTCGTTTCATGATTTGTTTTAAGATGGCCGAATAGCGCCCATTTATTAAAAGCAAGCACTCTCTGCTAAGAGATAATTGTCTGGTGTTTATCATTATTTTCCTTTGTTATGAAGTGTGTTACTACATAATAATGTCCTAAACATGTTTTCTCAAGTGCATTCTATCAAACATATCTTTCGTCTGGACATTGGTAAGCCACATCATCTTGTGTAAATTGATTTGAATAAATTTGTAGCATGGTAACAAAATGGTTCAATTTTAAACCAGACAGCACAACTGCTTTTCTATTTTATACTATCAATTTCTTGACAAATATCCAATAGCACATGGTATTGTTATAATGATGTGTACCTAATGATATCTACAGTGCATTACAACTATTATTGTATTTTATCTAGACCATGCCTACGAACATCAAGCAGGTGCGATGGGTGAAACAACCAAATCAAGAATACGTAAAACTACATAAAGATGGATCTGTATCTGTAACATCATTGGATAAATATGCCAGCTTAATACTGGCTCCACACAAACAAGAATTCAGTGTTAAATACATAGCAGAGGTCAGTCAACATTTGGATAGAAAGCTGGAACCCAGGAAGAATGCTACTTCCCCTTTAGACAACTTGGATCATGGTGGCAGCTTTACTGTGTTACTCAATCAACAGCATCCCACCACTCCCTGTGATGATGAAATGAATGCTGCAATAGAAGGAAAACATGGCACGTCTTGCACATTTATTGTGAGTCGTCACTCTTTGGTCGACTATCCTGACTGCTGGGAACACCCTTTAAACTTAGCCATATCGGTTTCTGGTGGTCAAGGTAACATAGATAAAGTCCATAGTGACAACACAAAAAAAAACAAAGATAGTGTTATTAGAGAGAAAACGGGTGATGTTATAAAATGCTTACTGCCAAATTCACTGCCAATACGCTGTCCAGCATCACATTTGCATAATTGGAATAAAACCAGTAATGGTGTCGACACGGCAGAACCCTATAATGTGCGTCAAGAAAAACTGAAAGTTATCTGGACAGAAAATGTTGTTTATAGGTATGTAGTGTTCACATGTGTATATCAAATCAATGTGTCATTTATATGTATGTAGGTTCACATGTGTATATCAAATCAATGTGTCATTTATATGTATGTAGTGTTCACATGTGTATATCAAATCAATGTGTCATTTATAGTATGTAGTGTTCACATGTGTATATCAAATCAATGTGTCATTTATAGGTATGTAGTGTTCACATGTGTATATCAAATCAATGTGTCATTTATAGGTATGTAGTGTTCACATGTGTATATCAAATCAATGTGTCATTTATAGGTATGTAGTGTTCACATGTGTGTATCAAATCAATGTGTCATTTATAGGTATGTAGTGTTCACATGTGTATATCAAATCAATGTGTCATTTATAGGTATGTAGTGTTCACATGTGTATATCAAATCAATGTGTCATTTATATGTATGTAGTGTTCACATGTGTATATCAAATCAATGTGTCATTTATATGTATGTAGTGTTCACATGTGTGTATCAAATCAATGTGTCATTTATAAGTATGTAGTGTTCACATGTGTGTATCAAATCAATGTGTCATTTATAGGTATGTAGTGTTCACATGTGTATATCAAATCAATGTGTCATTTATAGGTATGTAGTGTTCACATGTGTATATCAAATCAATGTGTCATTTATAGGTATGTAGTGTTCACATGTGTATATCAAATCAATGTGTCATTTATAGGTACGTGTATGTCTGATCAGTGTACAATTATTAACTGTGTTTCATTACAGGTTATGCTGGGGAAGCAAGCCATGTGTAGAGTTGTTGCCAGGGGATGCTTCTATCATCAAGTCTAAAGGTCCTACTGGATGTTTCTTTACACATTGCTGGTATAACAATGATAAGATTGAAGAGAGAGTGTATTCAGTGGACAATCCCCCTCCAGATATGACTACACAGATCTATTCTGTAAGGAGACTCATCACTAAAGCAGCAAGGTATTCAGAGTCAATAATAGCACATACAAATTTGTTACTCATGGCAATGATAAATTATTTATATTTTTTAGCTCCCGTGAAATGGTGCTTTATGTGTTACCGGTGTCTGTGACTCTGTAACTAAAATTTGTTCCACTGATAACTCAAGATCTACAATTTCAATTCAAATGAAATTTGGCACACAGCTGATATATGATGAGTAGATGTGTTGATTGAATTTTGGTGCAATTCCTGGCATATTAATTAGCTAATTATTGCATTAATTAATTTATAACTTGGTGGTCTTTAAAATTTCTGAACAAATATTTGCATATTGCGATAACTTATTCTGTCGCAAAAATACTGATAATATTTCATTGGAAGGTCTGAAAATTTGTGAGTTTTAGTATATAATGATTTAATATGTCATGATGGATGTTATTTGAGCAGATACAGCGACTAAAAACATCAAATGTATGCAGTTTTATCAGTATGGCGAGTACACATGTGCAGTTACAAAAGTGACGCGGTTCAATTTCACTTTGTGTGTCATATTTATCAATAGAAAAAATCTATGAACCCTGTACAACTTTGTGTCAATCTTGATTCACAAATGTGCTGGTTACATGTACAGTGTTTTCCTCAGACCTTTCAAGCACCGCAGGCTCGTGTCGCTTTCGTTTCACCCGCGATTCTTGAAATCCTGTCCGTAATGCTTAAGTTGTTGTATTGTTTACAAGTGTCAGCCTCGTCTTGCACATCTTTAAAACAATAACATGTATTGATCGAAAGGTAATCCTGGTTAGCCTTACAAAAACAGTGATAAAACCGAAGTCTACAAGAACTCTTTCGAGGGAACAGGGCCTGCAAAGTAATAATTTGCCCATTGCGTCGGGAAGATCTATCCCAATTTCTGCACTGCGGTTTTTACTACTCCATCGCCGGTGAAACTAATTACCAAGAATTAAAAAAACAAGTGAAATTAGGTCGCATTTTGAAAAAAAACGTAAAAAAATCAAAGCAAAAATTATTCAACTGCAGATGGCCAAAGAAAAAACAAACCCTGACCTCTAGAAATACCTCATTCATAGTGCGTCATTACCAAGGAACTTCACTGAAGCGACGTAACGCATGTTGTGACATCATGACCGATGCATGCCGGGTTACAAGGGGGAGTCCGATCTAGGTAACAAAGATGGCGGCGCAGAGTGCATGTTTTTTTCCACGATGTTCAAAAATAACATCTCGTTGAAGATTTTGATGTAATTTCTAAGATAATCATCAATGAATCATTTTAATTAACAAAACATTCTAAATTTGTGTATTATTAATTAAACCCAAAATTCAGGGACCGATGATCGCAACAGCAGTGGTGAATACCCCTGGTGATCGTAGCGTTACGCATAAGGTATAGATAAATGAAAAATCGATGACTTGAGTTTTGAAATGCTATTATTGATTTATTAATTTCTAAGTCATATTTTGATAACCCGCAATGTGGTAGACTTTACAAATTTAACCAAATAATGTTTTTCCCCACGTCATATGAACTGACATGTACACTAAAACTGAATAATAATGATGAACCAGTTACCTCCCATTGATAACAATATATTCATAACAATACATTTTTTGCCGTTCTATTTCAAACTTTATTTGACTTGATGCACTCATAAAATACAATGAAGTGATATAAAAATGATATAAAATGTATGAGCTTTAAAAATATCTCATCTTTATTGTTGTTTCTGTATCACAATGTTTGCTGAAGAAACTAATAAATAATGCAAATTAGATGTGTTGTTAGGTGCGATGCTTGGCATGGAGTCTGGGGAGAACACTGATGTATTTGAGTTAATAAAAATACCGGGCACAAATGTAGGTAGGTTTGTTAAAATCTGAGCGAAGCTGGTGGAATCACAGGTGCTCGGTGATTGTAATAAGAGAACCAGTAAGATACTTCATATATATACTTTATATATTCATTATAAAATTAAAATCTATATTTTACCACTATTTAAAGATCAAGATTGTACTAAATGTTGGACATTGCTCTCAGAAAACATCAAAATTAACACTTACGTGACAA